GTTGTTGGAATTTCCGTGGAAACGGGTTTTTATTCCCGTTTGGAGGCAATATGAATAGTTTAGGTGTTATTTTTTTGCAATATTCGTAAGTTGTTGATATTTCCGAAAAAAATCATACTCTCCTTTTCTAGTGGCAGAGAAGAAACGGAACAGGATATTTTTGAGTTTTTCGCAATATTTTCTTGTTATGTACAAGATATCATGGTAATTCATATATGGAAAAAATCTTCTATCTAAGATAGGGTTGATTTGAAACTTCAACTTTTTTCTGCTGTTGAATATAAGCATACCATTGTTCTTGAGAGGAGCAACCAAAAGCTCGAATGCATTTTTACGAGTATACTCCGTCGTGACGTTTGGCGCTTGACGGGGCAATATCGAGCCGGCTATAATTATTTTGTGACTCGGAAACGAAGTCTAGATTTAATCAAAACTCGCACCTTTCACTAGAACTGGGATCAGAGAAGTCCATGGAGCAGGGAAGGTGTGATCGCCTTTTCCAAATAGTTGACCGTATTCATGATCGAAGAGTGAGTACCAGTCATTCTTAGGTAAATAAGCATTCACACTCCTTGCGCCCTGGAAATTTTCACCATTTCTATACCTATAAATTGAATTGCTGCCAAGCAAACCTGGTAAAGAACAGGAGCTATGAGCATAGAGCTACCCCACAAGAATTCATTGCCAAGATCATGGGTTCTGCTATCTTCTGGATATTCATAGAACAGAGGTCGAATAACTGTTCTGCCATATAGTGAAGCTTCAAAATGTAAGCTGAAAAAAGGAATTTGGTCAGCCAATCTTAGATAGATATTGTACCTCCTCACCTGTATAGATACGGTAGATAGGAATATCGGAAAAGATTGGCTTTGATTGTAGCGTCAGTGACCGATCTCCATTGTGCAGGATCTTGTGGTGGCAAATAGAGGCTATTATGATTTCTGAGTATAGACAGATTTTTTTGTCAGTCGGGTTTTGGAGATTTGAATTTTTTGCAATCGATATACCTCATGAATGTATGGAAAGCTCCCATCTGTTGCCATCTCAAGCACAGTTCCTCATTTGATTCACCAGCGAACCCGCACATATCAGAGCCGACGTATCTGAGGATTTTCTCACAGTATTCCCACATTCAACAATTTTTCAAATCTTCTAGAAAAGCTTAAACATACGGGATACCAAACATATTGAATTCTTGTGCA